TTCGACGTGGCCCCCGAGTCAACCAGCGCATGTGCCTGGAGCCCCTCCGACCGGTTGGCCAACAACACCCGGGTGTCCAGAATCAGGTGCCGAGGGGGCTCATAGTCCACAGCCGCCGACTCCGGTGGGGCATGTGCACGTGCCTGACCCAGGGTTTCCCCTAGGCCAGGCCTGGCCCGTTTCCCGGCTGATCACGCCGTGACTCCGGAACAGGCTTGAGCGCCCCACTCCGCTTCCTGGGACATGAGGCGGCAAAATGTCCAGCCTCACCGCAATAGAGGCACAATCCCCCTTGACGGCGCCGCATCCGCTCCTGGGCTGTCAGACGAGGTCGCGCGGCTCCGAGCTCCATGGGCTCCTCACCCGTTGCCACAAAGCGTGGGTCGGTCCGGGGTCCTGTCGGTGCGCAACGCGGGGGTGCCGCCGCTGGCAGTGGTTCCGGCAGGGATCGATGAGGCCATCGCCGTTGAAGGCGGGCGTCGATACGCAGGCACTGGAGCACCAAAGCGTCAAGGGTCGATGGCACCTCCAGTCGAACCAACTCATCCTGCAGGTCATCGGAGAGGCCGTCCTGGAAGGCATCCATCAACGCTGCCTCATTCCAGGCTGAGTCCTGGCCAAGAAGGCGGAACTCCGCAATATAGTCCTGCAAGGCGCGCTTCCCTTGGCGGAGGTCCTTAATGCGCCTTGCTGCCGTCTGCACGTGAAGGGGGTCTTCATACATACCCCACAGGTGTTGCAGGAAGCCCTGGTAATCGAGGAGCAATGGACTGTTTTGCAACAGCAAGGGCGTGGCCCATCGGGCGGCAGAGCCAGAAAGGTAGCTGATTACAAATGCCACCCGAGCCCGATCATCCGGAAAATCCTCCGGCCTCATTGCCATAAATAGTTGGCATTGTCCCAAGAAGGCCGGGAACTGCTCCGTCTGCCCAGAAAAACTGTCTGGCACCTTCACAGGGCATCTTGAGCGAGGGGGAGGAGGAGGAGGGGGAGGGGGAGGAGCAGCAGGAGCATTAGCCAAAGCAAGTTGAGCCATTAAATGTCCTACTTGCTGTTGCAACAGCTGATTAGCATCCATCAGCTGTTGAAGCTGCTGCTGCTGCTGTTGGTCCATCGTGGGTTAACGATGGCTCTGTCGGGGTGACGGACAAGATGTTCTGTCCCCCGTCCGACTCACACCCCCCAACCAGTCAGCCGAGGCCTGAAAAACTGCTCGGCACAGACAAAGACAAAGGAATGTCTTGGCAGCAACTTCGTAGCTGCCTGCCAAGCCTTTACTGATCAGTCACAGCAAACAGAGATAATCCACGATAACTTGCCAGAATGCTTGCAACCGAATATCCATCAAAATTTGTCCGTCACGAAAATTCACACGCCACACCCCTTGCTTATATAGCCAGTGGGGTGTGGCCCAGTGACTCAGCTGAACTATCTGGCCCGGCGTGTCCGCTGCTGCGCACGCTTCTCCTTTCGACGTTGGCGTGGATCCAGCCAAGACGTATCCTCTTCTGAGTCCGATACATCTGGCTCCTGGCTGATCCCCGAAGCACCTGGCTCCTGGCCAATCCCAGAAGTACCGGGCTCCTGGCCAATCCCAGAAGCACCGGGCTCCTGGCTAATCCCAGAAACACCGGGCTCCTGGCCAATCCCAGAAACACCGGGCTCCTGGCCAAACTCCTCGCTGTCGGAAGTCACCGAAGGCCGCACCAGAGGGGAAGGGCCTGGAGAGGAAGGCCTGGCCATCTCCTCTCCTTCATGTTCAGAGCCTTCCTCCTCTGATGAGAGGGACCCACCGGACGGAGCCACAACACCTCCCCTAGTTTGTGTGAATACACAGCAGCTCTACAGAGTCTCAGGATTGGCTGAGATCCTTCCCAGGTTAAGATTTTTTTTTTCTCCTTTTCAGGCTAAAGTGCGTTCCAGACAGAACAGAACACTCAGAACGACAGCACGCTCTCACCCCACCTACGTCCCATGCGCTATTCACAACCAGGTTTTTCCAACACGAAACACAACGCCTCCACCTTTCAGGCCCACCCCCCCCTTTCCTCGCCCCCCCCTTCCCGAGGCTCACTTGAGCTCAGTTCGCAGTTGCTTGAGCAGATCCGAATCCTTCTTCTTCACGTCTTCGCTACCTCCGCCACCCTTCTGCTTCTCCCGATCCCGTGAAGAGGAAGAGGAGGAGGCCTCTTTCTCACGATCCCGTGGCCTCTCCCGGTCAACGCCCCGGTCTCCGCCACGTCCTTTGGACCGCTCGGGCTCTTTGGCGCGGGGGGGCGGCGGGGGCTGGGGAGCGGGAGGCTGGGGGGGGGCAGAGGTCTCCTCTTCTTCTTTTTTCACTCCCTCCGGGTTCCCGAGCAGCTGAGGAGACACCACCTCTTCCTTGGGCTCTTTCTTTATTTGCACCTCCTTGAATTCTTCCTCCTCTTTGACGGCAGCGACCCCAGGGTGGCCCTGGGGCCCACCGGGGTCTTCATTTCCTGGGGCCAAACCAGAAGGAAAGCCACTCTGTTGCATGCGAACCTGAGGAAACAATAAGCCGAATCAGCGCTTTAAAACAAGGTGGGTTTTTTTTAAAAAAAAAAACAAGATTTAAATAAAATATTACTTCCTTTCTTCCCTTGTTTATGGCTTTTGTAGTCATATTAAGACCTAACTATGGCTCTTTTGGGTATTATGGAAGATTTAAATTCTAGAGAAATGATTTTGATGTTGTATTGTATAACGACAAGGTTATTGGTTGCTCAAAACTGGAAGAAGAATGCATTACCTACTATGGATGATTGGAGAACGAAGGTGTCGTATTTTGCAGAAATGGCTAAGATTTCCGCATACTTGAAAGATCAATCTCAAGAAAAATTTATTTTGGTTTGGAGAAGATGGATAGATTATATTCAGAGAAAGTATGAAGTGAACAAACACTATATAGCTTTTGAGTAGATTTTATATTGTTTTTATTTTATTATTATATTATATATATTTTATATTTATATTTATTTTAACTTGATATTTTTTTTATTAGAGTTAAAGTATGTTAATATTTGATTGTATTATGTTTGGGTAGTTTTATTTAGATTTGGGATGACATGTGTATAACCCTGTATTCAATTCCGGGAAGTCCAGGGGGGGGAGAGGGGGAGGGGACTCAAGATGTAAATGTAAATTTTGGTATATTAAAATGTTATAGTGAAATAATGTATTTGAAGAAGATGAGATGCTCAGCTGGCGCCCCCAAACTGCGTCCGAAGGATGAGGAAAGGAAGGAGGTGGGATGTGTAGGATAGTTGAGAGGAGGAAGGAGGAGAGAGGTGTAGGTAGGAGGAAGAGAGGAAGAGGGAAGTAGGTAGGAAGGGTCAAAGAGAGTGTGGACGCAGGTGGGGGGGCTGCTGAGCATCTCTGAATAGACATAATATGGGTTTTTTTTCTTTTGTTTATTAATGTATACCATATTTGTAACTTGTTTGTTTATTTGAAAATTAATAAAAATTTGAATATAAAAAAAGACCTAACTATGGCAAAGAAAATGATTATTGAATACTAGCCATTTCTATAACAACAAATGAATCTAACCCAGTAAAACCCCAAATCCCGCCTCTTTTTTTTCAGTCAAGTTTTTGACACGTCGCTAAGCACTGGTGGTACTCAAAAATTGTCATGTCCGAAAAGTGGTACGATCTGTGAAACGGTTGAAAAGCCCTGATTTAAGGTACCTTGTGTTTAATTACTTCTCTCGATTAGCAGAAAGGGAATGTACATGTTCAGCTCACATTTTCTATAGGTATTTCTATAGAGATGTTACTCTATAACAGTGTTTCTCAACCTTGACAATTTTAAGGCATGTGGACTTCAACTCCCAGAATTCCACAGCCAGCATTGCTGGCTGTGGAATTCTGGGAGTTGAAGTCCACATGCCTTAAAATTGTCAAGGTTGAGAAACACTGCTCTATAAAGATATTATCTATATAGGTATTACTGAAGGTAGATCTTTATTTGAATATCAAGCAGAAGCAAAATACTGAGTCCAATGGTGCTTTCTGTCAGGGAAATAGGTATAGTACTTTTTGGAAGTATTGTGGCATATATATATAATAGACCTGTATATGGTTGCACATTATTTGCATCCTGTTTTAACCATAAGGTTTCCTGGAATAGCAAGTTTAAAGTTATATTCTGTTTATCTTAAAATAAGATTATCCATAATCGTGGGAAATGATCATGAATTTAAGATTATGCTCCCTCCAAAGGAGAAGTAGACCAGAAGAAATATATATAAACACTAGCTGTACCCGGCCACGTGTTGCTGTGGCTCAGTCTGGTAAAAGCATGTGTTGCTTTTACATCCAACAGATGGCGCTGTTTTTTTAAAAAAAGCATGTTTTTACCTGTCACAGGTGTGACATCTATATAATATAGGTATATAAAAACACGCGCGTATTCGAATGCAACATTGTGTCAAAATTTCAAAGCAATCGGTGAAGAACCTTCTGAGATTTAAGATTTTGAACAAACGAACATTTACATTTTTATTTATATATAAGATAAGATAAGATTACATGTATTAACAGCTGCAAGAATAGTATGAAAACCTACCATCAGACCAGATTATAATTTTGAAAATCCTAGATTGTGCAGAAATGGACAGATTA